GTGACACTAGGCGACCGCCTAGGTTGCCTAATGGGTTGCTACGGCCCTGTGAGTGAGGCACTTGCCTTGGGTGCACAAAGCTGAGGGGCGCAAAAAGCGGCAGAGAAAAAAAACAGCTGCTGGCACAGAGATATTTAGGGTGATCTCCTGGCCGCCCCCCCGCGCCTCCCCCGAGTGTCCCCGGGCCCCGACTTGCTGCCCCCCTCCTTCCCGGGGCCCTGAGCAGAGAGTCACTGTCTCTACCCTGCAGCTCCATGCTGCCTCCCTGCAGCAACTGCTGCCGCTGGGTCCTAGTGCCCCAAATTCTACTGCCAGGGCATACTGACTCTGAGCCTGCCCTTCCCCCTCAGACCGCAGTCACTGCTCCTGCCCCATGCTGGGCAAGGAGGCAGCCCCATCCCTCACCCCCAGTGAGGCTAGTCAGGGGCAACAGCAGGGGAGGAGGCGCACACAGCACCCCCTGGCACCCACCACGGAGGAGGCGAGAGAGATTCCTGTACCTGAGAGAGGCCCTAGGAGCACATGCAGTGACAGTGGTGGGGGCGAGTGTGCTGCTGGGGGGGCAGGAAAGGGGGGCTCCTCCCCCAGAGCTTGCTGCTGCCGGCAGGGAAAGGGCTGGGGGGAGTCCTCCTCTCTGGCCCCTGTCCTGGAGCAGCCGGCCTGCACCCCAAACTCATCCCCAGCCCTGCCCCACCCCAGAGCCCATACCCCCAGTCAGAGCTTTCACCCCCCACTGCACCCTCAACTCTCTGCCCGAGCTCTGAGCCCCTCCAGCACCCCAAACACTTTATCCCCAGTCCCAGCCAGAGCCCACATCCCCCCACACCCCAACCCTCTGCCCAAGCCCTGAGCCCCTCCCACATCCCAAACCTCCCATTCCCAGCCCCAGCCAGAGCCCTCACCCCTACTCTCGCCCTGAGCCCCTCCCACACTCCAAACCACTCATCTGCAGCCACAACCCACAGCCTTCACCCCTGCACCCCATCCCTCTGCACCCCTCCCATCCCCAAACTCCCTCCCAGAACCTGAACCCCCTCCCTTCACACCTCTTCCCATCCCCAAACTCCCTCCCAGAGCCTGCACCCCAATCCCCTGCCCCAGCCTAGGGCCTGCACCCCAGACATCCTCCCTCACCCAAACTCCCTCCCAGAGCCTTGGGTGGGTGGGTGAGGGGGGTGGAATTTGGGTGGGGGCAGGGTCTGGGCACCACCAAAATTTGACATGGTTGCAGAGCCGTAACTAGGTATTTTTGCGCCCAAGGCAAGAATATAAAATT